GGGGTCGGGGGTGAGCGGTGGTGAGTGGGGGTGGGTGTGCAGCTTTGGAGGTCGGTGGTGTGTTTGGGGTGAAAGTGTCGTTTTTGGTGAAATTGCGGCCCCCGGGGGAATGTGGGGGAGGGGGGTTTGGCGGCCAATTTTTTTATTTATTTTTTTCTGGTTTTAGTGTTCGGGCACGTAGGTACACGTGTCCGAAGCCCAACGCGCGAATTTCGTTTTTCCGAATTCGACGCGATACCCCCGTTTTTGTGTTTAACGCAATTTAACGGGGGTCGGGGGCCCGTTAAACGGATGAACGCGCGTTCAATTTTTCGCGTTCTCCGTTAAAAAGATACACAGGTGCGGAGTTGTCTTGTTTGTCAGAAGAATAGACCCTCGTATGAGAATCCCCTGGGATTATTGAGACGGTTACCTATTCCAAGTGAGCTAGGTGAGTCGATCTCTATTGATTTCACGAGTCTCACTAAGAGCCGAAATGACAACAGTCGGGTGATGGTCATTGTAGATTGATTTTTAAAGTATGCTATATTCATTCCTTTGCCTGCTGAAGCTAAAGACTGAAAATGTCATCCAAAAATTTCAGATGCGATAGGTCTTAGAGGTGGACTTGCTCCTGGCCAACCACAACTCGTCACCGGAGGTTTTGGTCCCAGAATGCGACCCGGTAGGTGAGGAGGAGGGGGTGTCGCCACCACACCTACTGGTAGAACAAAAACTGATCGTCATCGCAGACTGGCTGATGGAAAATTTGAAAGTTAAATACACCCCCCGCATTGATGATTTATGGGACAAGACATCCTTAGAATTATTCCTAATGCTAGACACGAGCGCCTCCCTCAAAAATGTATTGGAAATTGGACTGCAATCGTGAGTGAAGTGGACGAAAGCATGACACAACTGATTATAATAGTTTTTGTTCGGTTTCAACCACCACATGCAACACCAACAAATGAAGTTGAGCATGACACAACCGATTTGACGGACATGACGAACACGGAAGAGGCCCAGAGGTCTTTGGTTCCCCCAGTTCTGCAGCAAACTACCCCGCTGCCGGGCCCGGACCCTTCGGACCCGGACGAGAGCACACCTTTGAACCTGGTACAGAAAATAAAACTTAGACACTTGATCGAGTTGGGTTGTGACTCCGGCCCCTTATCGGAGGAGGCTATACTGCTCATCCTTGTTCGAAAGAAAAATGAGAAATGGGAAGTGGGACTATCTCCGGTGGAGAATGGCAGGCAAGGGGGGGCCATGCTCCAGGGCTGGTCATCAACTTGGACGGAGCCACAAAACAACACACTTGAGGCAGCGGCCGGTATTTTGCAGATGCTTTTAGAAGACCATATTACAAAAAGTTTATCACCAGGAGCACATGCAATAGCCTCAATCATAACGGGTCCCAACAAAATAGNTATTTTGCAGATGCTTTTAGAAGACCATATTACAAAAAGTTTATCACCAGGAGCACATGCAATAGCCTCAATCATAACGGGTCCCAACAAAATAGCACAGCGAGATGTTTTCATATGTTATGACCCACCAAAGAGGCAGGCCTAAGGTGGCACACTCATGCCTAACTACTGAACCTGCAGACAACCAAAATAGGGCACATTGACACCTGGCCTGAACAAGATGTTCGAAAATGTTTATGTGCCCTCCTTAGGTTGGGAGCGATGGAATGGGACTGGATCTGCTGCCGTGGGTTCGCTACTAAGAAACAACTACATGCTACATGCTATGTAATACCAAAGAGCATATGAACAACTCGAGCAAGATGGACGTGGTCAGGGCGGTGTATGAGAAGGACCGTATATGGAACCAAAGCAGGCGAAGAGCAGACATGAACCTGAGGTCCCTAAATGTAAATGGCTTGGCCTCATGTACACCCGAAAAACAAAATGCAATATGAGACTTAATGAGAGGGATGGGAG